TAGTGCACAAGTGTACGCGCAGACACAAGTGCACTCTCTATTCCTGTCACTCTCATGCTCCGGTGGGACGACTGCTCGACACGACCAGTGAGAGTTAAGGCGCAGGACCGACGGCTTTACGTGCTCTACGAGGCACGGGGATGAAACACCGCCAACTTCCCAACTCCGGGCTGTTACTGAGACTTACTATACAGAAAGACTCAATAACTAAACTTAGCCCGACCCGGGACTCGAACCCGGGATCTCCGAGTGTGCAGCCGTACATGCTAGCCACTACACCACCGAAAAAATAACAGCAAAAATTAAATAATATTCCATATTCAATTATAAAACTAATTAAAATTATAAAAAATATTTAAAGTTAAAAAATATTGTAAGGTAAAATTGGTGCGATTTTCATTTTGTTATTTGTGGGTAGGCTGTCTAAATAAATAGATTTTAATTTAATATTTCTGCTGCTACTTTGAGTACTAAATCAAAGTTAAATGTACTAATAATCTGTAGATTAGCAGATTCCACACTTTAACCGTAACATTTATGTGTATTATGAAAACTGGATATGTTTCAGACATACAGAGTTTGTATTATTTTTGTTTGTTTGTGCTTCTTAAGTATGTATAAATATTATTAGTCTACTAATCAATACAATCTTAAAAAAAAAACAATTGGGCGAAGCGTCCGAGGTGAGACGGAGTTGAGACACAACCGACTGGCATACATTAAGACACCTGATTATTTCCCGACTGCTTTATATGAAAGTCAGGAAAACGCTTTAAGATCAACGAGATTGTAGCTTACTACGAAACACAATAGAGCTTTAAATTCAAAATCTTTTGCTTGAAAATTGGTATATTTTAATCAACCTTGCATTTGGCAGCATTTCAGTTAAAATAAAAGGCGATCACCAACTTTATGTATTTTATTACTATGCTACTTGCAATAGAATAATTATCCCACGGAAAAATGTAGAGTTGCTGAGATAAGAAATATCTTATATATAACTTTTACACTACAAACTTTTGTTATAAGGAAAAAATAATTACTGAAGCTCTGTCATTATGTGATATAATGACTATCAAATTACTTTTTATGATGAATGAAACAGGAACCGGAAGCTATTAATTAATTCAAATCTTAGTAATTTTACAGGAAACACCACAAAACATGACTATAGTAATATGATACTTTGAACGGAAGCCTGTAAGTGACAAACTCTTACTTCAACTTTAAGTACTGGGGAGCTCAATCTTTCAGAGTTTTTAAGTCCAATACGTATAAACAATTACTGCGAAAAACTTGTTAAAAGGTCGCCCTTTCATAATTTATTCTTTTGGAAGAAGCTTAAAAAAGGACACTTGTAAAGTTTTCAAGTAACTTCAAAAGTCTTTCTCGAGCAAAGTGTTTCAAGGTGAGAATTCTTTTAAATGTTTCGTTTTACATGTAATGGCGTAAAATTTATTTATTTTCACAAACTTTGGAAGTTTACCTTAAGTGTGTATATATGTCTGTGTGTATGCGTGTGTGTGTGTGTGTGTGTGTGTGTGTGTGTGTGTGTGTGTGTGTGTGTTTTCTCCTTTACGCTGAAACGGCTGGACGGATTTGGATAATATTTAATCCAAAAGGTAGACTATAACCTAACCTTAACACATGGGCTACTATTAAACACCTAAGCACGTACCCGAGCGTTGTGAAGGAAAGTCGTTGGTAATTAATGTAACGCAATACTTGCCTACGCCTCTATTAGCTTGAAAAGCGGAGCGTCAATAATAGGTCCCCATGATGTAATCTATTTCCTTTTCAAAATGTCATCGAAATCTAAAAGTTAACAGACAAATAGAGTTACTTTCATAATAAATAACATAATGAATGAAGCCATACTATGACTATAACATATACCTTAAACTGGAGTCAAATCTATGACATGCAACTTTAGAATAAAAAAAATGTATTCAGACATATTATAGGTCAAGTATAGAAAAGCGTGTTAATATAAAAGGACTCTAAATTAGCATCAAAGGCCAACTTGTCCCATTTTTAACTGGATTTCTGCGTATAATTGCTACTTTTTTAAGGTTTTAATTAGCATAATTAGAAGAAACCCCCGACAATGTATGAAATCTGAAAGAGAATGGTGACTACTGTATTGTACTATTGTGCTATCTAATAATAAGAAAAATGCAATTTGGTATGTATGTATTTAACTTTTTTAAGGTCCCACTGCTGGATACGAGCCTCCTTTCATAGATCAAGTCAAGAGGGATCGCGAAAGTCCACCACGCTAGCCAAGTGTGAGTGGTAAGATATATAAAATATAAGTATATATAAAAATATTCTGTGTTTTTACATATCATTTTGTTATTTGCATATTGTCTTCAAATATCAGAGGTGCGAGACCCGGGATTTGAACCCGCTTCTCTTGGTGTCCTAAGCGAGCGCGATACCACTCGGCTACCACTGCGTTGCTACTTCTAATGCAATAGCTAATTCCAAAACCATACCTATTTTGTTAAAAATGGTTTTAGTATTATCAACTTGAAAGATAATATCAGATTTAGATTTCTTCCCCCATCACTCTTTCCCATACGACGCATATAATTCTATCAAACGACCATACTTTTTGGCAGAACACGACTACTGACTTGAAATTTATTAACATGAGTCTCTCTGACCATACTCGCATAACGTAATTTAGGAAGAAGTAAATTACGAATCTCCAATTCTATTGTAAGCATCTGTTTGTCCTACAGTCGTACAAACTCGCTCGAAACTTTTTAGTTTTCTGCAGAAAAGTAATAAAAGTTTTTTGCCGCAAGCTATGTCCTCGAGGCGACCTTCTTTTTGATACTTGTCCTTTTAACACTTTAGTAAAGAGATCGCCAGCTGAAAGTTGTCACTAGCTTTCATTACTTCACTATTATTAATTTAAAGCAAGACAAAAGTTTTATAGTATTATTATTATTATTTTCTTTATTTAAGAGCTTTGTCTTTAAAACCACCATGTCGCTCTGTTAGTTACACATACATATATTCTTAAAATTAACTAATTATATGGTTAAGTTTATAATATTGCGACTTGCTGTTACGACGAAGGTCTTGAATTCGATTTTTGTACTAAATAAAACTATCTTTTGGGATTTTATCTCGGATTTATTTTGATTTTTGATTCCCAACGTTTCGAATGCTTTACAACAATCATGGTCACGGGAGAGACTAAGGTTTTAGATGTCTTAAAGGTTATTATATGATAGTTGTTACAGACAGTACCTACCCACAAAATATGTGTATATCTCCATCTGCATAGTACTACGTTCCTTCTTCAACTTATTCTCATTTTTTTAGTTCGCTTTTTACGTAGTCGGGTTTTATTATTATTGTAAATTAGTTCATTTTGCTGTTCAGTCGCTTATTATAATTAGAAATATCTCCTGAATTTGAATAATTTTAAAGTAATATGTACAATTATCGTCCCATCGGAATTTGAGAGTGAAAGGAATAGAGAGTGCACTTGTGTCTACGCGTACACTTGTGCACTATAATATTTCCGGCGCAGATGGCTAGTCTCAGTAAAATTGGCCACAGTGGCCGAAATCGGTCAAGAGTACATCAATCTATTATAACTATCTTATAGTATAAGCAGTGTCTGTTAATTGAATTAAAATATAATTCAGTTTATGATCATGAATATTAATTTCATTCCATAATTTATATGAAAAGATAAAAATAAATAACGCAAATTAAAATGTTGTTAATGAAAGTTTGTAGTATCTCGTCGAGATTGTGCTTGAATCGAGTTAGCCAACAGTACAAACTTAAGATCACTTTTACTACTTTAGGATTACTGGAGTGAACACGTTAACTATGTAAAAGTTAAAAACAGTAACAGAAAAATATGTGAAATGAGCTTTGAAGCCATGAACAAGAGAATTGAATTGAACTGAAATGAGAAAAAAGCGTGATTTGCGTTTAAAAATATTTTTTGTGATAGCTTTTGTATGATGTAATGTCAATATTGTGAATTAAACCACGTTTATTTAGACACTAATAGTACCCGGCTTTGTCCGTGTTCAAACTTGCGATATAAACATCAGTTTTACAATAACTTATGTAAGTCTGCCCGATTTGTTGACATTTATGATTACTGCTTCACTTCCTTGAGTAATAGCATGATGATATATCGTTGGCGTAGGTGGAGAACTAAATAACTCAAATTTTCTAGTTTGGAGAAAATCGCGATTTACTGATTTTTTTTCCAATTTTTTGGCATAATAAAAAAATTTGAGAAAATTTTACTGTCGGTAATTTTATATACTTTAGGTATCTTTGCCTTTTATTTTATACTTAAACAAACTAAACTCTATCTTAAAGTGTTAAAAAATAAAAAAATAAAAACCAAGTTGTCTAATTCTGCCACAACATATTATTGCAAGTATGCTGCAATTAGCTATTTATTTAGGCTAGTTGTTTAGTTTTCCTACGTGTTAGACACATACAGTAAAACAAATTAAGATGAAATAAGTGCAGTTATTGAATTTGTCAACTACTAGATATCATTAAATATGAGAATTAACTTCTTTGAACATAAATTACTTTAAATAATTTATCAACAACTATTTATGTCACACAAAATAAAAAGCTGTGTTTGAAATATTAACAATGTTTTATTTTAAGAAAATATTTACTCAAGGGAAAAAAGTTAGCAACATGTATAATTATGAGTATTATTCGTCCTTTTCTTATAGCAACAAGTAACAACAAATTAACAGGCATAAACTACTCAAATACAACAATCATAGACACTTTTTAAAACCTATTAGAAATAAGAAACAGTCCTTCGTATTAAAACAAACCAGAACATAATTTAAAACATAAAACAACGAAAATTAACATCACAATATTATAATTACAAATGACAACAAACATTATTTTATAATCATTTAATACCATGTTATCTAAGTATTTAAATAGTTCACGGTAAGTAAGACTAGGTAAAAAATGACTTATTCATCTACTCCAGATGAATCAGTGGAGGATAGTCTACCCTGGACGTCGATGTGAGATGGTAAACTTTCGTACCAACCATGGAGCTCTTTAGGAATAATGTTTTTTTTACAAAGCTGTAAAAGGTCTTTTTTCTTTTGTTTTGTTATAGGGAGACAATGCTTGTATGCCCTGGGAATATTTGCGGTATTTATTATAGGCATTTCAGAATTCGGCGTTCTTCTAGTCGGTCTCCCTGGTTTACAAAGTGTATTTAGTAAATGATATGGTCCATCATAATCGTATCGGTATTTAATGAAACCAGGTAAAGCCTTTTCAAATCTTAGACATTTTATTTTCAACCAGTGCACTGTCTCCCCATCCTCCGCTATAGTTTTATTTTTTATTATCATCAAAGCAAGTGCTTTTACATCAATCATGTCTTGGTACGACAATTCAGTTACGTTATACGGAGTAACATTTTTATTATGTCTGTTAGATCGCGCCCGTTGCATAATTCTCTTCCAGTCTATTATAGAATATGCTTCTGTGAACCTTTTTTCTTTTTCAATAGCACTATGCATTGAATCTACCTCCATAAAGCTATGACCACTTTCTAGATACTTTTGCTCTATTACTTTGATTGTTTTGTGCGTGTGGACCAAGTGAAGTAAAAATGCTGCTATGTATTGGTTGCGGTTTTGCCCTGAACATGTGTCGGAGTATATAGTTACATGTGTTATAGCCTCGGGAAGTTTCATAATCCATATGTAAATAGCAGAAGCTATTTCGATACTGCCTCTTTTGCCGTTTATTTCCGTCCATATCATACAGTGAGCGTTATTCTGCGGGGGTTTAAACTCATAAACAGACAAATTATATAAATTTAATTTTCTGGAATAGTACAATAAACTATCTGCAGTCGATGGAATTTGCAAAAGACTTTGCAAGTCCATAGTAACACATAAAAATGACTCATCCTCTTCTGACTTTTTTTTATCTAACTCTTTAGATCTGTATGATGCCTCTTTTCGTTCTATATGTTGACTATACTCATTCTGGACAGAGGTATTAGATTTATCTTTTTGATATTTATTACACATGGTACACTGATCCTTTTTTGGGTGAAAAAATGATAAATTGTATTGTGTGCCAAACACTTTCTTGTAAACATTTAATTTTACAGGTATTTTGTTGCTGCACTTCATTTTCTCTACATACAAATCATACATTTTTAATATTGATAATTTGGGATCTAAATATTTCCTATCCGATTGTTTTCTGCAGTAATGGGAATCAAGCACAGGAAAACTTTCGATGTGATTTTTTACATCTTGTAACTGATCGTCTGGAGTTTTGTTAGCAGGAGCTCGTCTGCCACGACGATCGGCGTGTGAAAAAGAACCATTTTTATCTATATGTTTCACTGCTGTCTCTATCGGACCAGATGAAATGCAAAGTGTGGACATGAAAAAGTTTTTGCAGACCCGCTCAAAAGAAGTTTGACCCTTATAAAACCCGTATTCCCTACTAGAGCTTCTTTGTTTTTCTAACGGTACAGATTTTTTTGTGGTTTGTACTGGTTTAATAACTATACGCTTAAGTAAAAACTCTTTTTGTAACTTAAAATCTTGAATAGACCAATAAGACTTGCAGATTTCTGCACGCTGGTCTTGTGTAAAATTGTCAGCGCATTTATGGCGGCAGTTTTTACTGCATTTTGGACTTTTAGGTACTTTAGGTGCACGAAGTTTTCCATCTTTACTTGAATATGGCAAACACTTTCTTTTTTTTTGCAGTTCTATGTTTCTTTTCCATTTCGTAGGGTCAGCATTCTTCCATCTGTACTTTACTCTTTCCTTCATTACTGTTGTGGTTTCTGTTTCAGAGTCAGTAGTTTCAGTTATTATAATATTAGGCCTTACTTCTGTATAAGGGTTAAGAGGTGTCATTAGGTTTTGTTTCAAAGATGTTTCAATAATAGCACGAGTGTTTATAATGTTACCTGTTTCTTTTTCAGATTCACTAGACAAGTTAGGTTTTTTGGGTTTAAATCTCTTCACTCTTTTTTTATTTTTTGGGGTTTTCTCACGTTTAATTTCGGTTTCTGAAGATGTCGAATAAAATAAATCCGTTAAAGAGTTACGTTTCTTTTTTGCTTTATTTTCTTCGTCTGTGTCTGGAATCCACGAGGATCCAGAATCAGAAAAAGGTTCTTCATCTGTGTGAGACAACAGTAATCCAATACCAGAAATTAGACTAGACTCTCTAATTGGCGAACTAACATCTATATTATCACTATCTAATATATTATTTTCTTCATTTATATTAAATTTGCTGCTACATAAAGATATGGGACTAACATTCATTGGCATAGGTGCTGATTTGGGTGGGTTAATATTATTAATAATCTTTTCAGTAACCACTACTGAAGCTGGAGCCGATTCGCATGTTAAAATCTTAAATTCTTCATGATGAGCTAGCATACAGTCTTCATCAGGAACCAATTCTTCTGGCACTATTTCTATCGTAATATCAGCAGCAAAATTTGAGTCCGTGCAAACTGTATGATTGTTATTTTCTGATAACGATTGTTGACTTATTGTAATGTGTCTATGTGGGCTTTCGATGACAGTATTTATGTTTTGTTGTTGTATGTTCGCCTTAGTTTTTACCTAAAAAAATTACAAGCTATCTTATTTTTCAATCGAACATTATCCTTAGGTATCAATCAACCGTATAGTTAGTTTTTATTTCATTCTATAGGTAATACACATAATAAATAGTTTTATTATAAATTGTAAATAAATGATTCTATTATAAAACGAATGTTAATCATCAATGGAATCAGGAATGGTGCAGTGTCTATCGATTATAGCAAAAACGTGATACAAGCTCGTAGAGTATTTTTTTATTATTTGCAAAACCCAAAAAAAAAAAACTCATAAGTAAACTCATCAAAGTGATCAACTGAAAATCTACTACAGTGATTTTACATTTTCTTTGATCTAATAAATCGAAATTTTAACCCTGTGGTCTTTTTTCTCGCAATACCTACTTAAACTAAACTAATGACAATCGGCTGTACTATGTGAAACAAAGATACTCATAATCACAACCATTTTATTTGACAGGTTAAAAGCAACCTTATTGCTTAGCAATAAGATTCACAATTTAAATGGAAGCGTCAAAAGTTATCAACTTCTTCCACAACTCAAATATTTCACAATCGAATTCGCGAGTATTGGGAGAAATAGATAAAACTGTAAAGCCTGATTAATACACGGACTAATAAGGCTGAAGCATAGACTGCAAGGACTGAGGGGCCGCATCAACTAAGCTCTTTGGTACTCTGAAAAATCGCGCATAAATACTAACAATCTAAATTTGAGTAATGTATTTTTAAACTACTAACATTCCGTCTCTATAATTAATTATTTGTAGTAGGCAAAAAAACAAAAATAATCGATACTATCAGTCTATATCCTAAATGGAAATGAAAGGTTACGGTGTAGATTGAAAGGTGCTCGCTCAGTCATTGGTAAGCCTAGGGAAGCTAGAACCCTAAATCAGGCCTCGGGAAAAGTTATTTAATTTTAAAATACTTACAAACAAAAACAACACTTACCTCAGACGAACCACCTTCCTGCTGACACATTTTTACCAAAATTCTACCTCGCGATTCCATAATTATTATCGTTTACGATTAAATAATAATCTAACAGCTCTGACGTCAGCACAATTTAAAAGCGTATGCACTACAATACTGTGATGCGTTCGTGCCGCACGCGCTTACCGGGAACCCCGCACTACACCTTACTCTAATTCTGCGCCCAGCCATTCATTTCAATATTTCGCGCCAATTTGTCCTAATAAGTCGAATGATAACTTTACTCATGTTCATCTGCTTTCTATATCAATAATAAATAACTTCACTTATCTTATTATGTTTTCTTACCATATTGTATTAATTTATATTTTGTTGAAGAAGAAATCGATAATAGTTATTAGTCATAAAATACAGTACTTTACATTAGAATTTAAAAAAATATGAATTAAACAACTCGAGTTATTTAGTTTTCCGTGAACTCTGTTCATATTATTATGACATTTTGAGTTGAAGAAAAATAAAACAACTTATTTTATTTAAGTCATTAAACATTCAACAGATCATAAATTATAGTTATCGATTTATTAATGGAGTGATTATTTTTCCTTCTACTGTTTAGTGCTAGTTTCAACATATTTACTTTAGCATTTGGAATACAAAAATGGCTATATTTCTGAAACGGGGCAAGATATGAAAATGTTTGTTAGAGTAAAATATGCGGTATTTTTTGGGTGTTACGAAAATAATTAAATGTCAATTTGGCCAAATTCGCAGTTATTTAGTTTTCCACCTACGCCGACGATATAGCCTATTGCCTTTCTCAATAAACGGGCGATTTAAGGCAAAAATAATTGTTTAAATCGGATTTGTAGTTCCTGAGATTAGCTCGTTCAAACAAAGAAACAAACAAACATAGAAACAAATAGACAAACTCTGCCACTTTATAATATAAGTAAATACTCAATATAGTTTATATCAGCATCATGAAACTAACGTGATTCTTCTAATAACAACAATTTATAAGACCATCGACGAAGACTTTTCTTATAACCACGGATTTACCGATCTTATAAATATGGTATGAAAAAAGCTAGTTACTATTTGAATAAAACAAACAGCAAACAATATACATATAATAAATAAACAAAGATAAAACAATTCAGTATCTTTTCTCCTCTGTTTGTTAACCGATTTTCTTTTTTTTTTGTTTAGTAGCTATTGACGAGATTTAGTGTTATCAATAAACATATTTCAAAACAGATTTTTTATAAATAAATTCTATTTATATACTTTTTCCTAAAATTTTCAATAATGATTATAGTCGAATTTCGACCACTGAACGAATACTAGTAATATTTGACTTTTAACGATCACAACTATATGTAACGTCATGAACGAACATTCAAAATAAAACTGCAAAGAAAACTGTAAAGATAGTTATAAATGTGAATGTTTGTATGGATGGGTAGATGATGGATGGATGTTTGTAACTCTTTCACACCAGAACAGCTGAACGGATCTGGATGAAGTTGGCACAGAGATAGATTATAGTCTGGAGTAGCATATAGATTACTTTTTATCCCGGAAAAAATATACGATTCCCGTGGAATAGATTATTATTTATAAAAGTAAACGAAATTATTATTACAGTTAATATTAATCATTTATGAAAAAAATCATAAAAAAGAAATTATCGTAGATCCAAAGCTTATGTAGCCTCCTCAGTAACGAAGCAGTTTTGAAGAAAAATAACTTGAAAGTAAAATATAAAGCAAAAGTTATTTTTAGAGCAAACACTAAAATTAAAAGTTATTTTGAAATTAACGACTTTCATACTATTACAAAGTTTTGTTCAAACGATACTTAAGATAAATCTAATAAAATAATTAATGATCAAATCGTGACGCATAGTGGTATTTTTGATATTTTATTTCTAACTAGCGACTCTATCTCTCTCCGCTCGGGTTTGTCCTTACATAGGTTTTAACGGTTAGTATAGATTTCTCGGAGATGAGATATTTTCTTACAGTGAAAAGTATCATATACGTTGACCAAGATCTACAACCATACAAAATTTCATGAAAATCTGTCCAGTAATTGTCTTGTGATGCGCTCCCAGGCTGACAAACAAAAATATTAAAAAAGTATAGATTCCGCCTCTATATCGATAATAATGACCATTTCAAGAAAAAAAATTAAAAATATTTTATTAACAGATTCGAGTCGGTTAGAATTTTATTATGCTATTTATAAATAACTATGAATAAAAAAAACCGAATGCGTAAAAAGCGAACTAAAAAAAACAGAACTAGTTAAGATAATAATATAATATACAGAGTTTTTTTTTTAATTAAAAATGTTATTTACAGCTTTTTAGTTTTCACCAGTTATTATATTTGGAGTTTCACATAAAAAATTTATTACATTAAATCATTATTATTAAACATAATAAATTTTGATAATCGTCTCTTAAAAAGAACTAAAGACCATATAAGAAAAATCTATATATATATATTTTTATTTCTAGGATCATACAATGCAAATAAAGCACTTGATAACTCACCGACGATTTATTATAATTTATATAAACTTTCATCCCCATTTTCACCCCATTAAGGGATGATTTCCGGAATAAAAAGTATTCCATGTCCTTCCCAGGATCTTAAACTATTTTCTTACCAAATTTCATCTAAATCGGTTCAGTAGATCCAGCGATTACCCCCTACAACGTCATAACTCACAATCTCACAAACTCACCAATTTTACCTCTTTATAATATTAGTATAGATTATAGCTAACAATGTTCACACGAACCGTCGTGTCGCCATTATCCTACTTTTCTTTTATTCATCTTTCATTCCATTCCATTCTTAAAATAATTTCATACCTCTTCTTTTATTCTTAAAGTACCATTTCACGCATACTCATCTTGCAAATCCTACACTTATCGACAGAAGTAGATTCTTAATGATATCGGTCATTTAATCGTTAGACGTTCCTGAACTCACCAATGACCTAGTTTCTTCACAAATCCTGAAGTAATATATGAAATAAATGTAGGTGAAACTTTAAATTAATATTGCAGAAATTATTCTGTGGTTTTATTAGCTATTAGCGACTCACCCTTGCTTTGCTCGAGTTCATATACCTAGATACGTTTTAACAGTTAGTATAGAATTATACTATATACTTTATAAATAGTAAGGTGTTTTATTTTGCTTATTTGAGAAATTATTGATTCCCTATACAAATTTCCACTCCCCCTTTTCACCCTCCTAATGGATGACTTCCGGCATAAAGACTATCCTATATCCTTCCCAGGATTTTAAAATATCTCCATACCAAATTTCATCTATATTGGTTCTGCGTATTAAGCGTGAAAAGATAACAGACAGACAGACTTAATTTTGTATTTATAATATTAGTTTGAATTTGAAATGCATTTTATAAAATATTTTTCTGCTTGCTTTTTCGCTCTACGATATTCCAATGATACGCAACTTTATTGAATAAAAGTGAACAATAGAAATTTTAAAATTTCTATTGAAATTAGCTAATTATATTATATAATTCCCATGTTCCATTTTTTTGTATTATATTTTATAACGATTTCTTCATATTTCGATATAATTAATATTAACAGTCGTTTCTTTACAAATACCATTGATCAGAATAGGTTCGAATTTAGTTTGGAAAATAACAAAGTAATACGTTTTCCGCTTTAGATCAATATTGAGGAAATTGCATTGCAATTCCTAACGCTAAGGTATATTTTAATCAAACTATAATCAATCAATTATTCTATGTGGTTCTACTTCAATTTGCGGTTAATAAGAGTCTAGCCAAAAGCTGATTTTTTATATGCCTATATTCCTGATCTTCTTCTTCTCCGTGCCCATTTCCCAATCACTTGGGGTCGGTGCAGTACATCTTCTGTACTGCTGAAAGGATTTGGCAAAAGTTTTACGACCGGCCGCCGCCTGACGTCAACCCTCCTTGGGAATGCTATTGTCTCTCTTAATATCTGAATGGTGTCGTGGAAATCTTGTAATATGCTTTTTTTTCTTTTAAAACATTTCTAATACTATTACTTAAATTTTTAATGTTATTTTCGGATATATTTTTAAATAAAATTGTCTATATTCCTGATATAGGCATATTAAAAAATCACGTGTTGGTTTTCCTCTACCCAGAACATATCCTAAACATAGTATTTAAAAAAGGAATGATAGCTACCAATGTATTTTTTAAATAATCAGCTATTTTACAAAAAGTAAAAGATAAAATTTTAAAATATACCAAAACATAAATAATTTAATATGAAACTGGAAGCGTAAGCTATTAGCTATCTAACTTGAAATACCAATTTCCTCTAAAAGCGAATATCTTACAATTAGACCGTGCCAGAGTAGTTAAGGGTAGTAAAATATTTCCGCCCCTATATACTCAGTTAATTGGCAGCGAGGCTTGATAACATCGATGCCCCGGGTTCCGTAGATATGTAATAAATGTTCTGAGATGCGCAGGTTTGGTTAGGATCAAGAATAAACATAAATCTTGAATAGCATATAACTACATGAATTCCAATAGGTATTATAAATGTGAAAGTAACTGTCTGTTATCTTTTTAGGTTTAATTGCTGAACAGATTTCGACAAAATTTTGCAAGGATATAGATTGCACCCTGGAATCGGACATAGAACTCCCTTTGCAATAATCATTGCCATCTTGACTCTATTGCTGTAATGAATTCCTAAAAATAAATTCGAAAAGATAGATTTTTTTAAATGTCAAATGTTCGCGTAAATCTAAGTAAGTATTAATATGGTATTATGTTGTTATATAAAAATTACTGTGTTACAAAAATACTTAACATAGATTGTTAATTAAAGATGAAAGTGTGTTGAAAACCGAAACCAATCGCTGGCTAAATATAACTTAGGAAGAACACTTAGAAACAATAATTTAATATTGAATTAATGCCCATTTTCACCAACTTGTACTAAATTACACTTTAACTAAGAAGCTCTTTAGTAAAGAGGTATTCGT